TGAATTTAGAATGGGGAAAATGCTGTGCTTATTTTTTATATTTTTATGAAATGGCTCTGTACATAGACGGCTCTGCTGATTGCTGATTTCACCTTTCCCTGAATTGGCGGGAGAAACGTATTTTTTTACTGGTGGTATAAAAATCGATGGTGTTATTTTTATTATAAACATTATAATTACTATAATTTTATAAACATTAGTAACAGCAAAATAAGATAATATAAATATTTTCATAAATCAAAGAAAAGGGTAAACGTGCGAGACAGGCATTACTCGTAATTAGCTCATTGGTGACTTAGTGCAAGTGTAACCATCTGTGTGTAAAAACAATCAAACAAGTAAACTCACAGTGGGCATGGCATGGACGTACTTGACATGCCCGTCGGCAATAGGTTAACTAACACAAGCCTGAAGATGAACCATTGATGCTTTCTTATGTTTGTAGAATTATCCACTTGAGACAGATCTTTCAAGCATTTTTTAAATCCTTTTTCACTTTAACCATGTTTTGATTATTAACCCAATGCTGCTGGGAAAATGTAGAGATCACTGTATTTTTGTTGTATGAAATTTTTCTACACATAGATTAGCAGATGTGACATCACCTGATTTTACCTTTCCTAGATTTTTTTTTTTTTTTCTAATACTGACAATATTGATACTTCTTATTAACTAATAGACATTGAATGTATTGTAATGTTATTAAAATAAGTAATAGCAATATAAGATAAAATAACATTCATAAAATCAAGGAAAAGGGTGAACAGACTAGATAGGTAGTACTAGTAATGGCATCCTTGGTGACTAAGTACTTGTAAAAAGACAATCAATAAACTAAACTCCTAGAGAGCTTGGCATTATTGGGTTAAAAGAATCACAGGAATGAAGTTAGTCAGTTTCAATGTAAAATAGATTACATAATATATATATATATATATATATATATATATATATATATATATATATATATATATATATATATATATATATATATATATAATATATATGTATAAATATGTATAAAGCTCCTTCACCTGGTCTGACTCATGTGGTAGACTCACGTGACCTATAAGGAAAGTAAGAATTAGTGAGTGCATAGAGATCAGCAATAAGGCCAGAATCAGACATATGACATAGTCTGTGCACTTCGAAGAGAGAGTATAGTTTTAAGGGCATCAAATTCTTTACGCCCTCATGTATGATTAGCTCAAGCAAACTTTTATAATCTAGGACCTTGAGCTCACTTTTAACCCATTTGTGACACAGAAGTTGCTTTTGGCTTATATACTCTACACATGATTGCTCACTGGTCTTATAACAGCTGTGGAACTCTTGCCTATATGCTTCAGGGACTTTCTTATAGATATTCAGTACAGCTCTTTTGACGTATTCATAATCCTGAACACAGGTAACATCAAAAGCGGAGAACCCCTCGTGAGAAGCGGAGAACAACCTCATTAAGTTTAAAATGTGAGATGTTGCCTCAGTATTGAGTATGCCTCAACTTCTCATTTTCAGCCTTAACCCATTATCCCCGGATTTATGTAGCTTTTCGTGAATTTTGTTACCTACAGATGGCTCCACGTGCTCAGCCGGCAAGGAGTCTATCAGTAGGCCCTAGTTACTGATCCTAATTTTCCCATTCCTTGAATTGGCGGGAAAATGTTTTTTCTTATTAATACCTTTGCTATCGATGTTATGACGTTATGATTATTAAATTGTCATTAGAATATTTTAGACAGACAATGAAATGATACAAAAGACCCTTTCCTAAAGTGAAGGAAAAGGGTAAACAGGTGAGATAGGTAGTTCTGGTAAACTGGCTATTTGGTGATAAAGAACTAGTAGAGCCATCTATGTGTAAATACAAAAAATAAACGTGTATTGCTGGGGGCATGGCATGAATTCTTGCCACTTGGGGCAAATGGGTTAAGTTTCTCCAACTTGATTTTCCTATTCTCCAATTCATATTGGCTGGCAGACATTACATTGCCATCACCCGGAATTGCTGGAAACACCAATTCAACATCCTCTTTACTAATTACTTTAATTTTAATCAAATTATCCAAGATAAGGTTATGAATCATATGTTTACAAAATGAGGATTGAATAGAAAGTTTACAATAATACGCCAACTCACTCCACTGGGCTTGGTCAGATTCGCCAGCGCTTGCGCCAAGGGGGGGGCTACAAAATCCTCCACTGTGAACATTATGAATGACAAGAGAAATCTAGCTAGCTAGGAAAACAATGCTAACATCAAACTGAATAAACCTGCAATCACACCATGATTATATAATACAAAAGGTTAAGTGCAGCCAAATATCCTGCCATCAAAATACGGATAGAAAAGGGGAGCAGTGAGAACTGCAGTCACTCACAAGAATCCCAAGCAGCCTCAAAGGAATATGAAAATCCCAAGCAAAGAAAGGAAGCCGGCAACAAGTAACTTCGGCTGCCAACGCAAATGCATGACAGCTAAATGGAGTAATTACTCATG